GCCTGTGAACCACTTGAATTGTAGACTGGCACTAGTCAAGCAATTTGTAGCGATGCGATGCCTCCTTCACAGGTGAATGTGAAACTGTTGTAGAACTGGCAACGAAAGATGTGAAGGCTCTCCTGCCATCATACTTGAAGGATGGCCATCTTCCAGAAGCAAGAAAACGTAAATGCCCGGGCAAGCGCATAATCCCTGTAGACTCACACAACAGTCAGTTTCTGAGAGGTTCGCTCTTTTGCTAAAGTGAGGATGCATCGTCAATCTTGCATGTGCAAGTGGAATGAGTTGCTTACTGTGTCAACTGCGTGGGCTATGGATTGGCATCAGTCAAGATGGCCCAGCAACTATTCTTCAGTATGGGGAGAGTGTTCATGTTCATCACTGATTGACTTGTACAGGCTTAACGTGATGATTCGTGTCGCCTTCAATGCCTTCAATTCTGAGTTTGCAAAAGAAGAATGGCAGAAGGTCACGGACCTCTAAAAGAGCAGGGGACTCTCCTTGCTTGTGTTGAATTCAATTGTGGCAACAAGAGTGTATTGATAGTTCTATTGAATTGTGTACAAACACAAAAACAAACATATATCAATACAACAAGATATAACAAGAGTGTATTGATAGATGTTTGATTTGTTCTGGTTTGCTTTTGTGCCGCTCCAAAACACGAATCCGAAAGTTGCCCGAAAAAGTAATTGTGAATGACACACCCATTGAGGCAGTATCCACCGGAGGTGACTGTGTCGACTCGTGGACCCTGCGAGGTGCGGCGAAAGCGAGAAATGCCGGAAGTGTCCAAATCATTCCAATGTACAGCTTCTTGTTACTACTAGTAAGGCACTTGTTACTAGAAGCGATGCACTTGTTCCTAGTAGCTTCTTGTTTCTACAGCTTCTCTTTGTATTCGATATGGTCGAGGAATATCAGGGGTTATGGAGAAGAAGATGTTTGTGAGGTGTTGCTGGCTCTCTACCACAAATTGACGCAGGTCATCATTGCGACACAGCAAATGGACTCCCGCATCACACAGGCTGGCATGGTCGCAGGGTGCACATGTGTTTCTATCGAATCGCAGAAGTCAAACCAGGTATATACGTACTTAGCTTAGGGAGAATGGATTCGAAGGTTGTGTCTCACACTTGTGTTCAGTGTGATGTTGGTGCCAGTGTAGGTCAAGAGATGTCAAGAGGACAGAAATGCTAATGAGACGATTGAAGTCTCTAGACAACCTCGAGGCTCCACCCTGATAGCGATGGCCTCCAGCCTCATAGCGATGGCCTAATAGATGCTAATGACTGAATTGGAATTTGAACTGAGTTGCGCCGAGTTGAAAGCATGATCACGAGGAGCATTGGGTTTAAGGGAGTTGTGCCGGGACAGGATACCTTTGTTGGTTCCACAACTTCAGCGAAGATCTACTTAGTAGTTTTGACCCTCAAACTCACCAAGGAGAGGTATGTCGCCATGCAGCACAATCATTATCAGGTCGGCCAGAGAAAGCCTTATGTGCCCATCATCCTGAAGGTCTATGAGAGCTTAGGCGTTACTCTCAGAGCACAAGTCACAATGGACCAATGGAAGGGAGTTCGTTCAGACGCAGTCTTCTCCTGAGGTACAGGTAATGTCTATAGCGCCAACATGGTTTGCCGATCAAACTGGATTCCCACTCGCGACGCCATGGTTTGAAGCTCAGCCAAAGCACATAAAGCAGCAAAGGAGGGAAAGCTGGTGTGGCCCAGATGCTATGCACCGCTAGTCACATGAGGATTGATTGACTTGACTTGTGGGGGGGTGGAGCAGGAATGCCACAGGAAATCGGTAGAAGTATGTATATAATCACTGTGCTGTGGTTCTTATTTGGTGCTTGTACATGTCCAAATGACAGAGGATCCATGTTCACGTGACCTCTTCCAATCTTGCAAATGTAGGCTCTAAACAACCTCGAGGCACAAAGACTCATTCGTCGTCAACTAGACAAACGCAGAAAGGGTAGGAGCTATGTGTCCTTGAGATTCCTTGAGGGCAACGGTCCACAGCGCATGCCCTGGGTCTCCAATCAAGTCTCAGGGATGCAAGCTGAGGTTGCCTTTCAGACGGCTTCAGCAGGCGACAGAAGACTCTCATGGACACCATTCGTTTCAATGTGCGCTTTGCTCGTGGAATTTTGCTTCAGCTAGGCTGCTCGTAGTGGAAGGTAGTGAATGCCAAGACCAAACTCCAAAAGCTGTTTGTTTGTTACTTTGAGAGAACTCCTGGCTGTCCATGATTGGCTGACAGGTGGCTTCAAAGTCGTCGTCGAAATGCCGGAGGACACTGAATGCGATCGACTCGTGATCCGGTGGCTGCGCTCAGTGATTGCATTCACAAGGTTGCCTTCTTCCGCCCCCACAATTTGACGGTTGTGAATTCACGGTCAGTCTCTGCGGAGGCTGCGGACATTGGCAGAATACGTTTTGAGTTTTGAGATGTTTTGAGCATATGTTTATTCTGACACAATTCATTCGCTGCTGGCAACATAGTGCAGCAGCAGCTAGCACTTAGTGACAGCCATGTGTGACCCCATATATTCCATTCAGACACAGATCACAAGCACTGACTTGGAGGGGCGCAAGCCGCAAGCTTTGATTATTCATGCTTTTCAGGTGGAGTTCCCCTCACCAACAAAGCAAGTGCATTATCGTTGGAAATTGGCGGAAATTGGCATGTTGCACTTTCAGGGAGAGAAATATATAGAGCAGTTTGTCAGTTTGTAGTGTGAAAGAACTGGTACATGAACTCGAGGTGCTACTCTACAATGCCAGCGGACTTCATGGTGACTCCAGCAATGTGGCGCTTTGCATGTTTATTTGGTTGTTGCGGATGTCGAAAGCACTAATACATTCGCAGTTGCAAGACCAGCTCCGAACCCAAATACTTATACAATACTTATACAACTGCTTGACCTCCAGATCCTGGCTCCCACAATCCTCAAGCATGTGAGTGTTGATGGCAACAAAATCTGATAAGACGTGACAGGTCGAAGCACTTGCTTGCTCTTCCACAGGCCATGGCGATGAACATATCAAGGATGCCAGCAAATTCCCGTACAAAACCAGTAATTAGTCAGTAGTGCGAAAGTTGCTCAAGGTCAATTTCCGCCGATGAGCTCCAAGCATAACACAAATCAAGAGCTGCTCCACTCGCAAGGGTCCTCCAAAGGGCTCCCGCTTCTCGCTGGTGGGCACCTTGGACCACACAAGGACAGTATGACGTTCGGTGTTTGTCGCGCCCTGTTCACTTTCACGTCACCGATACGTGCCAAGTTTTTTCGATACGGAGGATCTTACGGGATGACATGCCTGAGCCCATGAGTGACGACTTGGACACCATACGGCTGGAAACTCAGCGGCTTGACACTCAAGCCCGGCAGATATACTTTGAAGCACGCAGCACGCACTTCGCATGATCTTTCATGTTGGGATAATCAAAGTGGCTATTGAAAGCTTAAAACGGACTTTAGCACGTCATCCCCGCATACCTTAGGGCCCGTCACCGTGGCAGTTCTTCTGGCTGCGAGATGATGTGAGGCCTGCTAGAGGTGCCCCCGTAGACGAAAGCCTGGCCCCCTAAAGGCGGGCTGCCGGACCCAGCGCCATCGCTGCAGTAGGGAGCTTCACCAGTGGTGATCTACTTTACTGGCCCTGTGCCCTGGAGAGATGGCCTTCACTGGGAACACCTTGAGTAAAAGCAAGCGAGAGCCAGCGTGTTTGGTGCAACATGGCCTGCAAACTGCTATGGGAAACAGCGGATAGGAATTTCAAAGGAAGGCTCCTCCCAGAGTTTCAAACTGGAAGCATTGTTCCAGCACTGTTTGGAACGGAAGTGGTTTGGAGTCTTATTGTAGTATGGCCTCGTACTTGTTGTTCGTAGCATGCACGGTTTGTCTATGCTTATGTTTGTTGACATCTGTTAACTTTGTGACCGATAGTGGTACTGAGCGTTACTGGGCCTACTTTATTGCAAACCGAACTGCAGCTCTTGCTAGCTGGTTTAGTTTGGCTGGTATCCACGGCTTTGTTGGTTTAATAATCGATTTCGCTTGAGCTCAAAGAAGTTCTTCATGGTGTCGTGGGATCCAGTTTCCTTGAACTGCAGCTTTTGCGCTGACTCGAATTAACTTAAACCGTTAACTTTAACCATCCTAACCTAGCATAGTCCTGTGTTTTTGCTGCCTACTCTTGTTTGACTGGATCCAGCAAAGCTCTTGTTTTGTCAGACACAGAAAAAGCAGACCCTCTGAGTCGCGCTTGCACGCAAAGTGTCCGCAGCTGGTTCAAAATGAGTCCGCTTTGCTGATGGATTGTCAGGGAGGGACTTCTTTCTTTTGCTGATGGATTCTTCCATATTTCTCATCATGGAGCCACACATGTATGATGATGCTAGATTCTGTTAGGCATCCGGTTGCACTTCGAGGTATCTACCTACTATGCTTTAGTTTCAATACAGATGACACTTCTCCACAACCTGAAGCATGTCCATACACACGGTTGAAGCATTGAAGCATGTTGAAACTAAGAAATTCAAGTGTCCTCCATTCTGCTTCTATTGATTCTCTTGCTTCTATGCCTATGTTTCTCCTTGAACCACACCAGACAAACAACAATGGCTAATCCAGATCAGTGGTGACCAGCATGGCCAGGCGGAGAGCTGTTCTATCATTTGGACCGGCGCGGGCAGTTCTCTGAGATGGACACCAGGCTGGCTGGACCGTCCAGCAAAGCCACCAGCTTTGGTGCAGAAATTCTCCGCCCCTAGTAGTTCTTGTTCCTAGTAGTAAGGCCAGGAGCCAATAGTAGCATTCTTGCTCCTAAGAGCGATGCCAGGAGCCACTAGTAGCTTCCTGTTCCTAGTAGTAAGACTGCAGGTTCTATATCAGCGAGATACTTTTGGGCCTCGAGTACCTTCACTCTCAGGCTGGCTGCTTAGAGGCCTAGCGTCTATGGTCACGGGCCTGCTTTAGCATTTCGCATGTTATGTGTTTAATCCTAAAGGACATAAATTGGCATTGAGAGTTTGAACCAAGGCTTGTTGGATAATTTTGGAAATGCTGCATGGTTCTTGAACCAAGAAGTGCTCCAGCTTGCGCCCAGGGGATCTTGTATCGGGATCTCAAGCCTGAGAATTGCCTTCTGGATTCTGGAGGAATGCAATGTGAATCCAGCAGTGTGCTACTTGCAGCTTCAGTATGCATTTCAGAACTGCTGATTCAACGATCTATCCAATCGATCGCTTGCAAGTGTGGCTACAGGGTATAGTATTTGGTTGAAAGCTGGAGTCGGGTTGTCCCTTTGGCACAAGTTAGGATTCAATATGTCCTAGCAAAATCTAGCAAATCAATGTATATCAGCCAAATATCAGACCAGTAAGGTCGAAGCAGAAGACTCCTCTTCCTGAACACTGCAGGGTACATCTTTCTGTTGCTTCGTTTGCTTCTCAAAGTCAAAAGTTGCCTTTGCTGAGTTGATCTTAACGAAGTCCTTGAAATTCAGCTTGCCAGTGATGTGCAAAGCTCCCCTGCAGGACATATACGTCTCACAGATTTCGGGCTGTCAAAGGCGGGACGGAACGGGTTGTTTGGTTATCATGTCTAAAGGGCCGAAGGGTCCAGACTGGTCCAGATAACCCTCCGGAGTCATAAAGGACCATGAGGCACTTTAAGATCTGTAAAAAGAAGTCGGGGCCAAGCTTCATACTCAAAAGACCCACCAGTTAAGACTCCGTGCTTCAACGAGATGTTGTCCTGTGCCAGGAGAATCTCACGCAGTCCGCTCTCTTCCAGTCCTTCGTAGGTGTCGAACTTTGGATCACCAAGTCAAGTCATGCCCTTGTGGAACTGGCTACGATCTCTCTCAAATGTTAACAAGCACTTGTGTTGATCCTTACTACTTCTTTCAAACTGCTTATAGCTTCATCTTCAAAGCCCGAGTACTTGTAAGTTAGTCAGTTCTTGAAACTGCAAGTAAGATGTCAAGTGTTTCTGGCTCCAGGTGATTTTGGGACGTGATGAAAGTGTGACCTTGTGTCATCGTGTGTTTGGCTTCCATGAGTTAAAGCTAGCATCATCATTTGCGTGGAAAATCGTTGGCAAACCCGCAAGAACTTGAGCCATCGCTTTGCCATCGCTTCGGCAGGCACCGTGTTGTACTTGTCCCCCGAGATGATCCGACGAGAAGGTCATGGCCTTGCGCTGGACTTCTACTGCTTGGGCTGCCTCTTGTGCCCCTCGAAACCAACAGTGGATTGGGACAACTGGAGCAAATTCTGGATAGGATCCGCAGCCCTGGCTTAGTGTTGCCAGGTATGTGCTGCTCACTGGCAAGCTGCCACACTTCACTGGTGACGTGAACCAAGTGGGCCTGACATGGTGAGATGTTTAACTACCAGCCATCCCATAACATTGCAACAGTTGCAATTTGTCGTGCATTTCCGTGGTGTGTTGAATGTGCTGGGGTGGATCAGAGCTGGGTGCAAGGGAGAGGTCTCTAAGAGGCGTGTGATTTTCTAGAGAAGGAACCCCTGTTCAAACGGCCCTCACCTTCTTGTTATCCTTTCTTTGTTTTCTTTTGTTCTTTTTCTCGACTTCAAGTACCGAACAATGAAGCACAGCTTGAGAGATGAATTTGTATCATTCACATTTGTGAGAAAGAATTGGCAAAGGATGGTAAAGGGCTATATAAGAAATGATTCGAAGTGACCCAGAGGGTCTTGCGCCATGTCCATCTTGGCCAGATGTGCGCCCGCCGGGCCAAGGGTGAGGCCTTCGAGGCCGGGTGGCTGGGTTGACTGGGCAACCTAGCTGGTTGTTCTTGAAAGTCTTGGTGAGGAACCAGTCCGGGTGATTTATGGGAAGACATTCAGAATTTAATCTCCACTGGAGATTGTTCCCCCTGGTGGCTTTGCACATTCTTCGCCTCCCAGAGGTTCCAGAGTGCACTGTCAACCGAAAAACCTCGCACGATTTGCAACCACAGTCGCACACTCACTCGCCCTGTGTGAACTCTTTGGGTCTTTAGACGTACAACCAGTCTTAAGAAAGTTGAAGCAACGTTGCTTCCAGTCGCTTGGCTGAGTGAGCGCATCGCAGCACAGGTGCCCAAGCATCTCTCCCCAGCGGCCGCGGACCTGTGCCAGCGCTTGTTGGAGGCCCTGATCATTTGAGTGAGACTTGAGAGGCAACAGAGAGGTGAGAGATGTAAGATCATGTCAATCATTTGACTCTACCATAAATTGTGAAAGACTGTTGGCAATTGTTTATTCTACTTCGTGTTCATGCATTTCTTGTGCCAGTATGATGGCTGTTTGGTGCTGACAAATCGCTTGATGTTGTATATGCGTGATATCCAACGTTCAAGCACCGAGAAATCCGCAAATCACCAGGCAGATCCTGCTGAGCGCCTCGGATCCAAGGGCCAAGCTCTCGAAGTGAAGGTGGACTGCATCATGCACAGGGCAAGATGCCCAATGCGAAAAGAACATGAAAGGGATGATTTACAGTAAGACTTAAGATGGCAGAAGTACAGTGTCCAAGTAATGGTATACTGAGTAGTATACTGGTATACTAGCTTTTGAACATCAAAGTGTCTAGTATATGTGATTATATATCCGGTAGTTTGACTTCCTTTTCCAAGAGTTTCTCTCATGGAATGTATATGCTTGCGAACAGCAAACAAATGAAGCATGTGGTCAGTATTTTCCAGACTTGGGTGTGGCGGGTGGCGGTGGCTGTGAGAGAGCTGCTGAACCTTGCCAGGAGCACAGGTGGTTTGAACAAGTTGACTTTCACAAGGTCTACCGCAAGGAGAGGATGTGACCTGCCCCACACAGATCTCAGGATGCTTCATGTGTGGGAGGGTCTCAAGCACCAGCACTCTTCAATGCTCAGAATGCTGTGTCAGGGCGATGCAGAGGGAACAGTCCACACCTGTTCATTTAAAGAAAATGTAGGGTGTTGCCTTTTGCTAAACTAGGGGCATTCCTCATAGTGATCGCAGCACGCACGTGCTGCCTGCATGCTCCAGATTTCTCAGGAGCCACAGAGGATCTTCCCTAATTTTCCACCCATTGATCCTCAGTCACTTGGATGCGATTCTGCTCAGGGCGGCTCATGCGTTCAAACATTGAGCTGCCCACAATGATGTCACGAGGTTCATATGGGTTCCAAATTTGACATCCTCAGCTTTTGTTGCCATCAGAGTCTTTATTGTTGATGTAGTGGATGATGCTCACGCCTCTTGGGTTTGGCGTTTTCAGAAAATCGGAGTTTGAGGCCAGGCAGATTAAAATGCTTAAAGTATGTTAAGTTTCCCAAAAAGTCTAGGAACCAAATGAATCCTAAGTAGTAGCTGTTTTTTGCGCCAAGGCTGACTCCCGAACAGAATTTTAGCTCGCAGCCGGGAACCCGAGAGGCTGTTTCCCTTAGAATCACCGAAGCTCAGAGGCTGTTGAAAGGCCTTCGTCTCCCATGTCCTTTGTATGAAGCCGCAAGCGCCATTCCACATTTCATCATCTATGTATATATACGTAACCCGTCCCCGAACCTTCCCTTAAAACCACAATCAGTCGCTTCAGTCGCTTCAGTCCGTTCAGTTCCAGGTTTACCAAGATGGATCTTCAACCACTGGGCTTCAACTCTACGGTTGGGTGCCACAGTCGAAGATTGAGAGCCCCCGACTGTTCATCAGATCCAGCTGCTTGAGCTTTCGCTCATGTCATGAACGGTGCACAAGAAGTCGAAGGCTGTCAGACCAAGCTGCAGATTCACCATAATCAGAATGGGGCTAACTCAGGGGTTGGAATGCCAGAACGTTTTTGCCGCCTTGGCCCGGTCTTAGGGATCCTTTTCCCTGCATGAGGATTCATGTCTTTCTTCATACCACCGCGGGCTTTGTTGAACCTTTGCCTCCGCTTCCAGGATCTTTACTGAAGCAAGAAACATTTGTGCTCGCCAACTGCCCACACGTGTTGGTTTCATTGCGATGAAATTAAGTGCCCTTCCAGTCGTTCAGTGATATGTTTTGACTAAAAAGGGCCTGTGCTGCCCTTCAAGCTTCCCTGCCGACATCGCTGCCTCGGTCGTCTCCTGTTTGCATTCGGCTCCTGCTGGGTTGTGGTTTGCAGCTCATGCTGCTTCAGCGTCATTTTGGTTACTGGTGCTGTTTTGTCCTGGGGTACTCTGAAGCGCTGTACTCATTGGGGGTGAGGCAATATGATCCAGGACCACCAACCCTCCCATCCAAGCTTGGGAATGACGGATGTTGAGCAAAGATAAACAAACACCTGGTGACGAAGTGCACCTGCTGAACAGTGGGGTGAACACGGTGGACACCTGGCCACGTCCACTCAGATCACAACCAGCGAGCATGTCATTGCAGGCTTCTCAAAGGCCGGATCAAGCCATTTGTTTGCTCCGCTTTGGCATCCTGCTTTTGTTTATTTTTTTTTTGCATCGGGCCTGTTTCAGACATTGAGATCATCCGGTACACTTTGTTGGGCCGTGTGACTGTGCAGGTTGAAGAGTAGAAGCAGGGCCAAACCCGCGAGTGGCACCGTTCACTTCCATAATTTCAAGTAAAGAACACCGAATGAGACAACATTGTCACACTCACTGCCATGAACCGGGTGTGGCCAACCTGTCATTTGATGTTATTTGCAATTGATCATTTGTCAAAGCACATTTTGCCTGAAGAAGGCTTGTATGTGGATGGTTTCATCATATATGCATGCATGTCAATAGAAGATTTGTCTTTTCATGGCATTGCGTTTCACAAATCGAAAGCTGGGTCGATTGCGGAACGACATTCAGTCAGCAATCGTCCCATCAGAAGAACATCATTAATATTTTGCAAAAGGACTAAGTATAAATGTTTCTGGGATGTGTAATGCATTTAAATAAGTCTTTGTGTATTTTTTGGTTGGTTCGGGCTCTAGGCGTTTTGCGTTTGGCCTTTGGCTCGGTGGCTTCTTGGCATTTTGGTTCTCTTTTGCAGTGGCAACTTTCTAGATTCTTTGCTGTTTCAAGTGGCTGGAATATATGGCGCACAGAAGGACAGAAGACAGGAAGGGAAACGAAGGGAAAGGACAGAAATGGATGGAAATTGAATATATTTATTAGTTACATACATACATATATATATATATATTATTGTGATCACGAAAGGTAGCCAGCCCTTTAAGGGATATCTTGAGTTTGTTTTGCGAAGCAAGTGTGGGCTCCTCGGGATCTAATTTAACCCCTTATCCCCCTTCCTTGGAATGTCATTTCCCCTCCTTGGAATTGATTTGAAATACAACTCCCTCCGACAGCTTTATTCCGAAGTGGATTACTTCGATGAATATTTGGTGTTGAGTATTCTTAGTTTGGGGTAATATTTAAGTCTATGAAGAGATATGATTATATGTTATTTTTAATATTTCTTCTTATTAATGTTTATTACTATATAATTGTAGACATATATGTTTATGTTTAATTATTGAAGGAAATTCCGGCATGAATATATGTTTAATTTAAATAGGGTAAATAATATATGTATATTATTGTTAAATTTATTCGATATAATTGAAATGGTTGTATTGCATAATTGGTTTTTTTTATTTGAACGTTATTATGAATTATTGAAGTAAATTATGTATCTTCTTAGATGTTAGGATTATTAATGAATTTGAAGATTTTGTAGATATTGATATATATGTTAAATATTGGATTTATTTGTATTGATATTTGATTAATCTAATATTGTAAAATTGAAATTAGATTATTTGAGGTCGATATGATTGGATTTAAAAGAAATGGTATGGATTTTGATTTAGATTACGTAGAAAAATTGTTGGAGGGGGGATGGATAGTAATTTTATTATTGGTATATCGCGTTATGATATTAGGATCTTCTTTTTTCGGGAATAAATATAGATTGAAAGGGTGATAATTTTAAGGAATTTAAAAGGAATAGCAAATGCTAGAAATGGAAATGAAATATCGAAATTAATGTTTTCTTGATGTATTTAAAATTATGATATTATTGATTAAAATCGTCTTTCCCTGATGATGAGGTTAAGGTATGGGTTTTTATGATTCCGTCTTATGACCCCTTTCTTCCCCCTTCGCCTTTATCGCCCGTAACCGCCTAGACGAACACGACTTTCCTCGCCAACTTTAAAACAAGCCTTACCCGGGCGGCCGGAACCGCCTAATAGGCGAACTTCTGCTAATGAAATTGATCGAAGAAACCCTCTAGAACCGCTAATTCCGCGAGCAAAGGTAACCCACAACGACGGATTTACTAAAAAGAAAATTAATGCATCCCGTAAAATACATAATCGAATCCGTCATAACTAACAAAAATATAGCCCAAGGAAAAGCCGCTCGCGAAGAGCAACACAAATCCTACAGACAAAGATAAATCAGAATTTGAACTAAAATAGCATTTATTCAAGCCCTAATTCTATCCAATTTATCTAGAATTATCCATCAAACAGCGTCTTCGATATTTTCTTTACAAAAATATAGATTTAAAAATATATATATATATTAAAATATATATAATACAAACAAAATAATGTAATATTATATATTATTCGTGTATATAATCTATAATAAATATTATTAATATTAAATATATAATTAATAATTTTATATATATCATAATTATATATAACGTCCAATATATATATATATATTAATTCCAAATAAAATATTTTTATATAATATATATTGTCATTATTATCCTATAAATATTGTTATTCATATTTCAATAAATTAAAATATTATTTATTATATAATATTTCCG